CAGTAAGTTGTTCTGAAACATGTTGTGGAGAAAAAATATATAAACAATTACAGACAAAATTATAAAGTGCCTGGTGTTTTAAAAGAATATTCAGTGAATATACCAACCACTGCAGTCAGGAAGTCTAGTGGCAACCAATCTGTGATTTGCAGTCTTTGTAAATTTTTTTTTTAATTGTCTAAAATTGTACCATTTTCTTTTTATTTTTTTAACTACTATATAAACAGTAGTACAAGATGATTCCATAATGCTTTGTCATTTTATGTACTCGTAACTTTTAAGTCACTGGCCTATACGGCCCTTTCATAAAATACAATTCATTTTGGTCTCCTCACTGGCAACGCCAGAATTGAGGATACTGGAATCAATATGATTACATATAAAATCCTGAGTACCTTAATGTCTTTTATAACTACCTTGCTCTAATTTATGATTTACATAAATTGAAAGAAACTGTCATAGAAACTTACATCTTCTGTTTTGTAGGTTCCCAAGTTAACAGGGTCTTGGTTATACGAGAGCTTCTTATCTTAGCCTCTTAAAATTGGATGCACATTTAGAAAAGGCTCTTAGCTTTCTCTTACTACCCTGTACGCTTTAACAAAGTATGTACAGGAATACTTGTGTTTTCTTAGGTTGCTCAAAATAATTTCTTAGTAAAGCCATAAGCTCTGTGTAAAATCTTACCAAAAGTCATTGTGTGTGTGTGTGTGTGTGTGTGTGTGGAGAGTCTCACTCTGCTGCCAGGTTGGAATGCAGTGGCACAATCATGACTCATTGCAGCCTCGACTTCCCCAGGCTCAACCTAGCCTCCCACCTTAGCCTCCCAAGTAGCTGACAGGTTAAAAAAACTGGTTAATATTTTTTTTTTCTGTATTTTGTAGGGAAAGGGTTTTACCATGCTGCTCAGGCTACTATCAAACTTTTGGGCTCAGGCGATCCACCCACCTTGGGCTCCCAAAGTGCTGGGATTACAGGTATGAGCCATCGTGCCTGGTGGCCCAAAGCCTACTTTATATAACTTTTTATCTATATGTGATCTTACAGTCTTAATTTTGCAGCTCTTCCACTAGAGCTTTAAGTTCTTTTGTTATTTTAAGCCTCAGATAAACTAAAATTTTTAAAAAGTATTACAGTCTTATAGCTTGTGCATTTAAAAGACCAGAAAAGTGTAAAGTCTTTTTCCTTATCAAACATAAAAGGAGGAAAATAATGTTTTACACACACACACACACACACACACACACACACACACACAGAGCCTCAGAATCTACAGACTCTTCAAAGAGCTGGTTTTTCAACGAAGGCTACTCATTTATTTTTCATGCAAACCCACACATTTAAATTCAAAGATTACTGATTTTTTTCTTTTTTAAAAAGCATACCTCATTTCTAGTGAATTCCTAAACCATAGAAAGCTGTTAAATACTTTTGAGTAATGACACACACTTTTGATGCCCCAAATTTGAAATTCTAGCCAAACCAGATTCCACCACTTTCCCTCTATTTGATGTGCTCCTTCAAGACTCGAGCCTTTTGCTGGGGAGGGCAGGGGAGGGGTGGTGGGAGTGGGGTGAGGAGGAGAGATTGGTCAATGGATCTGAAATTACAGATGGAAAGGAGTAAGTTCTGATGTTCTATTGCACAGTAGGTTGACTGTGGTTAACAATATTGCATTATGCATTTCAAAATCTAGAAGAGAGAATTTTGAATGTTCTCAACACAAATGATGTTTTTGAGTTGGTAGATAAGCTAATTATCCTGATTTGATCATTACATAATACGTAAATGTATTAAAATGTCACTGCATAAATGTGTACTGTGTCATGTGTCAATTACATGTGTGTCAATTACAAATAAAACTTAAAAAAAAAAAAGTAAGCCTTCACTCTCTGTAATCAGTTGGAGTTCTATTGCCTTTGCCCTCCTGAATTCTGGAAGTTTTGGATTTGATTGTTCCGTTAGATTGGTTTCTCAGTGTTTTACTTTTCCCCCTAGTCTAACAGCTATGCAAGCTACACTAAGAGAACAGGGGCTGTAGTGCCTTCTTTATGATGGCTTCCCAGTGCTGGAAGTCCCAGAACATGGGATGTTTCAACACTGCTCAATGAATAACTCTGCTGACATTCAGATTCGTGTATACATCCTATCTTTTACCCAGGTCATTTTTAAAGGCAAAGACTATTTTATTATCTTGTGTCATTTATTTCACTATGGTCATGACCATGATGAATTAAAAAGATTAAACTATATTCATTAGTATTGAAAGATTGGGGCTTCCTGTGTCTAGTACCTCACTAAAAAAAAAAAAAAAAAAAATGCTAGATTTTGAATACTGATTGCTGTTAGAATGATCACTGTGACCAGTCCAATGTTTCATCCTTGGTAACATTTTTTTTTTGAGACAGTTTCGCTTGTTGCCTAGGCTGGAATTCAGTGGTGCGATCTCGACTCACCGCAACTTCTGCCTCCTGGGTTCAAGTGATTCTCCTGCCTCAGCCTCCCAAGTAGTTGGGATTACAGGCACACACCACCATGCCTGAGTAATTTTTGTATTTTTAGTAGAGATGGGGTTTCACCATGTTAGTCAGGCTGGTCTTGAACTCCTGACCTCAGGTGATCCACCCGCTTCAGCCTCCCAAAGTACTGGGATTACAGGCATGAACCATTGTGCCAGCCATGTATATTGACTATAAAATGTTACTGGCTGGGCACGGTGGCTCATGCCTGTAATCTCAGCACTTTGGAAAGACAAGGCAGGACAGGAATTTTGAGAACAGCCTAGCAAACATGGTGAAATCCTGTCTCTTCTAAAAATACAAAAATTAGACAGGTATCATGGCGTGCACCTGTAGTCCCAGCTACTCGGGAGGCTGAGGCACAGCAATCGCTTGAAACTGGGACGTGGAGGTTGCAGTGAGCAGAGATCGCACAAGTGAGCAGAGATTGCATTCCAGCCTGGCAGACAGGGTGAGACACCATCTCAATAAATACATAAATAGAGAAATTCAACATACATGATGAAAAATCAGAGTACAAATTATCCCTGAAAATTCTTTCAGTGGTGCTCCCCAATAATATAGCATACATGGCTCTTTACTACCTCACTATGTTTCAGGAAGCATAATATAACTTCGTATAATTTCCACCAGAGTTTGATAGAAACAGGGCTGTTTCCTTCAGTCTGCTTTGTGTAAAGTTGTCATTTTAGGGGCCATGTACTAGAAAAAGATACTTGTTTTTTCTTTCTTTTTCCTACCGAGTGTATATTACTGAATTAAATGAGCATTTTCTGCAACAGCACTCAACAAAACATTATAAGATAATGAGTGAACTCTACAAACAAAAACTGCAGGCCTGAGGGTAGTGACAAAAGCTAGAGTCTATCAGTTCAGAAACTATCATAATACATCCTTGAATGTCAAGTCTCAGTCACACTGGAAAACTGCCCTCAAATTTCCCAAAGTTGCCTGTCAGCTTTGCAACATCTTTCCAAGAGTATATATGTCTATCATTCCTTTACACAGAAATTGTTTGCTGATAAAGCAATTTTTTTCCAAAGTATTTCTCTTTAAAAATAAGAATAAAGTCTAGCTTCTAGAAAAAATGCTTTCTTATATCTGGCGACAACTCATGTTAATATTTTATGTATTAAAATCATAAACAAATATAGTTAAAACACAACAATATAAAAATAAAAAGTCTCTCCTTACCTCCCCCTCAGACATAAAATCAATTCTAGTCTTAAAAAAAAAATACTCAACGTCATAAGGACCCACAATTTTCACTCCTAGGCATTTGTCCCAGGAAAATGGAAGTTTATGTTCACACAGAAACCTCTACACAAACATTTATAGCACGTTTATTTGTGATAATCAAAAACCAGAGACAATCTAGAAGTCCTGATTGAGGACTGAGTGATGTGGCACACACATACCACAGAATACTACTGAACCAAAAAAAGTGAACAAACTATTGACACATACAAGCTGGATCTCCAGAAAATGATGCTGGGTAAGTCAAACCCCAAAAGGTTACACATTTTAATCCCAATTATATGACATTCTTATAAAGACATAATTATAGAAATGGAGAACAAGCTAGTGGCTGCCAGGGTTAAGGAAGGAGTGAGATGGTCTGCAAGTAGGGGTGGCTATAAAAGGGCAGTATGAGGGATCCTTCTGGTGACAGAAATGTTCTCTATCTTGACTGTATCAATGTCAATATTGATGCAGGTTGTGATGCTTTGCTATACAGTTTATTGTAAGAAGCTACTACTGGGAGAAACTGGTATTATTTTGTACAACAATATCTGTATTAATTTGTACAACTGCATGTGAACTTATAAATCTGAAAAAAATAAGTTTAATTAAAAATAAAAAAGAAAATCTCTCTAGCCTAATAACTTTACAACTCTGAGATCTAAGCTTAAGAATTCATCATAAGCCCTAGGATTCTTTGTCATCCTCAGGCTCCGCAGACCTTCTTAGTTCCTTCCCTAAGCACTCCTTCTCACCAGATACACCTCTTCACAGTGTCCACACCATAGAGGCTGAAGACCTGTCTGTACAGAAAAATTCTTCCATCTTCCTATAACTGCTATAAAGGCCACAACAAGGAATTTCCCAGTGGCAAGGTAATCTGTCATTACCTCAATGACCCAAATGCAGGGATTCTGTGAAGGAGGTGGCTGTCAGCCTTCTTTACAGAGATCCAACTCTGCCAGTTCGGGCAACTCTTTCTTGCATATGAAGTGAGCCAATAGATTTGTTTGAGGAAGAGATACTCTATTCCAGAGAGACTATCACAGAGAATTAAAATACACATAGAACTACCTTTCAAGTCTTTTTCCTCCCATAAATATAAAAGTCACATTAGAAAGTTATTTTAAATCTAGTCTAATAATATCTGATTGCCAAAAGAATGACTACAATAGAAAAAGGGATTTTTTTAAAACCTTTTTTTTTTTCCAGGTATAAACATTCATTCAATCCAATAAA